TCTGTCTGTCTGTCTGTCTGTCTATCTCTATCTGTCTGTCTGTCGGTCTGTCTCTATCTATCTATCTGTCTGGCTGTCTGTCTGTCTATCTGTCTATCTAACTTTCTATCTATCTGACTATCTATCTATCTATCTGTCTATCTATCTATCTATCTGTCTGTCTGTCTGTCTGTCTATCATCTGACTTTCTATCTATCTATCTATCTGACTGACTATCTATCTATCTATCTATCTGTCTGTCTGTCTGTCTATCATCTGACTTTCTATCTATCTGTCTGTCTGTCTGTCTGTCTATCATCTGACTTTCTATCTATCTATCTATCTATCTATCTATCTATCTATCTGTCTGTCTGTCTGTCTATCATCTGACTTTCTATCTATCTATCTGTCTGTCTGTCTGTCTGTCTGTCTATCTGATTTTCTATATATCTGACTATCTATCTATCTATCTGATTATCTATCTATCTATCTGTCTGTCTGTCTGTCTGTCTATCTATCTGACTTTCTATCTATCTGACTATCTATCTATCTATCTATCTATCTATCTGCCTGTCTGTCTGTCTGTCTGTCTGTCTGTCTGTCTATCATTTGGATCTTAACAATTGTTTTAAATTTATTATTAATTTGTAATTATTTTAAAAGTAGCCTGCTTATATAATTTAATAAAAATGCACAAAATAAATTTGATATAATCATGATGCATCGTGATAACGAATCGAATCGTTGACTTGATAATCGTAATCGTAATCGAATCGAATCGAGAAACCAGTGACGATTCACACCCCTACAATCTATCTATCTATCTATCTGTCTATCTGTCTGTCTGTCTGTCTATCTATCTATCTATCTATCTATCATCTGACTTTCTTTCTATCTATCTATCTATATATCTATCTATCTGTCTGTCTGTCTGTCTGTCTGTCTATCTATCTATCTATCTGACTTTCTATCTATCTATATCTATCTATCTATCTATCTATCTGACTATCTGACTTTCTTTCTATCTATCTATCTATCTATCTGTCTGTCTGTCTGTCTGTCTGTCTGTCTGTCTGTCTGTCTATCTATCTATCTATCTGACTGTCTCCATCTATCCATCACTCTGTCCTTCAGGATAAGAAGCTGCTTCAGTCGGCTCAGCAGATGCTGCAGGACAGTAAGACAAAGATCGACATCATCCGTATGCAGATCCGTAAAGCTATGCAGGCCACCGAACAGACAGACGACACTCAGGGTATGTCTCACTGCTACAGACAAGTTCTGTCTGTCTCACTCCCTCCGACAAATGAGCGTTTATCAGCTTAACATGATCATAGAGCTCCTTAATGGCTTAAACACAGTGTAAAGGTCCTTTAGCATCGCTTTTCTCTGTTTGCCTCATTGGAGGGAGTCTCATCTCACGTAGTTGGACTTCTTCAGCATTAGTCTTGTCCATACTGCATTTCAGGTTCACTTTATAGTGATATTGTGATATAAGGCAACTAAAATGATCTCCATCCAGTGTAATATTTCATATACGGTGAGGACATGAATCCATATGTTTTGCAAACCAGTCTGTCTGCTGTCATCTTGTCAAACAGTCTAATTCTGACAGACAAATGACTGTGTTTTCGCAAATGTCTGTCTTTCCTGACTGCTGTTTGTCTGTTTAGACGTCAGAGCATCTCAGAGACGGTCCATCTTCTCAAGCTTATTAAAGGAATAGTTCACCAAAAATTTTAATTCTGTCAGTTTATTCCACAAAAGGAGAAATAGGGCATAATGTTCAAATGTGTCTTTACAGTGACAGTTCAAAGTGACTACGCCAATAAAAATGGATGAAAAGCATCATAAAGCACTACAATCAAAGTCTTATAAAGATTTATGAGATCTTTGTGACAGAAACAGACCCATATTTAATTTGCTATTCACTGATCATTTTCCCAAACCAATGGCGTTTGGCTGAAATGACACCAGACGTTTTACAAATCCAAATCCAGAACTTTGGCATAAAGGATGCCTTCCACTACATAATGAGTTAAATTTGGGTCTGTTTCTTACACAAAGCTTCATATGACTTCAGAAGGCTTTCTGTATAATATAGTGCACAAATCATACGAACTGGCACTTTTTATAGTGTTTCCTGCAAGGGCGTAGGTTTGCTTCTGACATTGGTGGGGACATAAGAGCCAACATATTCATAATTCATAAACAGAGTTTTTTTTATGCTAGCATTTTTAACAGACAATAATTACACAAGTTTGATTTTGTGAACCAATGACATTACAGCAGCATCAGAGCGCTGGGGGTCTTAAAGGGGTCATATGAGGCTATTTTCAAAGCTCATTATTTAGTGTATTATTGGGTGTAATAGAATATGTTAGCATGCTTTCATGTTAAAAAAAATCATTATTTTTCACTTGCTGCTCATTATTGCAGATCCTCTATGCACAGTCTTTCTAAAATGTCCTTGAAAGCGCACAGTTTTCAAACGTATTTACTTTAACTTCTTCAATATCAATGGTATGACATATTTCAAATGCATCCAAAATTACAAAAACATATAGATATATTTAATTGTTTGATCAATTATTGCTAGGGACAGTTTGGTAGTCGCTGGATATTGGTAGGGGCATGTCCCTACCTAATTCTACAACTTGGTTTCCTGTGCTTCTTATACACTCTTAAAAATATAGGTGCTTCACGATGCCATAGAAGAACCTTTTTGTCTAAAGGGTTCCATAAAGAACCTTTAACCCTTTAAGGGTTCTTTGTGGCGAAAGAAGGTTCTTCAGATTATAAAAAGGTAAGAAAGAGATGGTGATTTAAAGAACCTTTGACTGAATGGTTCTTTGTGGAACCAAAAATGGTTCTTCTATGGCATCGCTTGAAGAACCTTTTGAAGCACCTTTATTTTTAAGAGTGTAGCTTGACTTTTTTTGGCTGTTGTATAGAAAAGAGCTGTGTGGAAAATCTCCTTTTGTGTTCCAACAAATAACAGAAAATTAGATAAATAATGACAATTTCATTTTTGGATGCATTATCCTTTAGTAACGCTATTTCTCAATGCCTTCATTGATAGAGAGTGAATGGGTCAGAATTAAAGAGGCATGAGGAGATGTAAACAGAAAGATGAGAGCTGGAGGGAGGAAATGGACGGTGCTGAAGCGTGCGGCTCTAATGGACTCTAATGGCGTGTTTCAGCGCTGATGTCTCATGTGTCCTGGGGCCAGACGGCAGCAGCTGGTTAAGAATAGATTTATTAATGCCACTCCACTCAGGGAATGACGTCTGATGGGGATTTGCAACAAGAACTATAATGTGAAATCGCAGTTTCTACTGATGGAGAGCCCCATCATAACATCCGTTTTGTTTAATTTGGTGGTAATTCTTGTTTTAAGGTGGTCAGAGAAAAATAATGTCCATGAGATCTCGTCCTGTCAGTTTGATTCACCTTAATGTTGATTCTAAGAGCTAAAGTGCTAGAAATTATGGTTCACGTCATTTCTGGTTCGTCGTTTTAGAAATGGAAAGTCAGGTCAAGCGCTTTGGGTTTCTTGAAGTGCTCTCTGGTTGTATACTGCACTTTTTGGCAGCGGTAGACATTTATCTAGGTGCTCCATACATACTGTGAATGGCGTACAGTACTTAATACACAGTTAATATAGTATGAGCAGTTTGCCATTCTGAGTGTGTGTGAAAAGGTCTGTTCTTCATTAGCTGCTGTTTTAGTTAATCATTTCAGTTTTAGTGTAGTTTTCGGTTTTAGTCATTTTAGTTTTTAACTTAAACGTATTTTATTTCAATTAGTTGCCACAGCAACATTTCTATTTTTCATTTTGTTTATTTTATTTTAGTTAACATTTATTTTAATTTTAGTTTGAGTTTTAGGAATTTTAGTGTGTTTTGTGGTTTTTATTACTATTTAATATGTCAATTATTTTGATTAATTTCATTCATTTTGTTTAATTTTAGCTTTCAGTAATTTTTCAACCTAAACTAAATGAAAAAATGTTGCTGTGGCAGCTAATTGAAATAAAATCAGGTTTTTGTATACTTAATTTCAGTAAATATTCATTTTAATGTTAGTAATTATGCTGTGTGTTTTTGTTGTTTTTATTAGTTTTGTTTTTTTGCCTCTTTTTTTAAATATTTTTTTAAATTTAGTTACAGTTTAGTTTTCAGTTTTAGTAATTTTAATTCAACTAATCTAAATGAAAATTTGAAATGTTGCTGTGGCAGTAAGTGTTAAGGTTTGTTCATATTTAATTTCACTTAACATTTATTTTTAGTTTGTTTTAGTATTTTTGTTGTTTTTTTTAAATGTTTTTTTTTAGTTTTCAGTTTTAATTCATTTTAATTCATTCATTTTAATATAATTTTAATTCAACTAAAACAAAAACAAAAAAAACTTACTTTTTTGATTTTCATTTAATTTTATTTAATTTTAATTCATGTTTATTTTTATTTTAATGCAAGTTTCAGTCATTTTGTTCTGTGTTTTTGTTGTTTCTATTATTTTTGACAACTAATTAAAATAAAATAATTTTAAGGGTTTATTTTCAGTTAAAGTGTATTTTATTTCAATTAACGTAAGTGTGTTTAATTTTTAGTTTTAGTTAGCAATAACAGCACTGATCCAACCACAGTGCTAGTTCATGTTCACTAGTCCAGTATGCTGTGTGTGTCTTCAGTTATTAAATATTACTAATTACATTCACAAATCAAACACAAGCTCAGGTCAATGTGATGGTGTGTTTTTCTATTAATAGCATCCCAGCAAGATCTAACGCATGTGTGTGGTATTGAAAATCTGAAATAGCACAAAGTTTCCTGTAAGGGGTAGGGTTGGTGTAGGGCAATAGAAAATACGGTCTGTACAGTAGAAAAACCATTACGCCTATGGGATGTCCCCACTTTTCACAAAAACAAACCTGTGTGTGTGCGTCTCTGCAGGTAAGCCGGATCTGTGCGGGGTGGAGCTCCGTATCGAGGAGCTCTGGCATCATTACCGTGTTGAACATGCCATGGCCGAGGGCGCCAAAAACATGCTGAGGCTTCTGGGAGCTGGAAAAGCACAGGACAAGAAGGCCATCGCTGAGGTGTGAGAAACACACATGCACGTCCTCCGATACCTTAGGAGAAACGAAAGCTAACACAGAAGTGACACACAGAAGCTGGCGTTAGTGTGGATCAGAGGAATGAGGGTGCAGGTTTGTTTGTCGTTCTAGGCTCAGTCTCGTCTCAGTGAAGCGTCCCAGCGCTTGGATCTTCTGCGAGTGTCGTTAGAGCAGCGTTTGGTCAATCTACCGGAAGATCATCCGAAAGTGTGTCTGATTAAGGAGGAGTTAGTGTTGGCATCGTCCTCGGCCTTCAGCTCCCGTCACAGCGCCCCCTATGTCCACAATCAGTACAGCACCCTCAGCAAACCCTCGCCGCTCACCGGTACGTCAATAACAATAACAATAACAATATATATATATATATATATATATATATATGTGCTCATGCTGAACGTATGACGGGTCTGTCCTGCTCAGGGACGCTGCAGGTGCGTCTGCTGGGCTGTGTGGGCTTGTTGGAGATCGTCCCGGGCCGCAGTCGCACGTCTCCGGTGGTTTTGCCTCACTTCAGTCCTGGAGACGGACGGCACTTCAAACTCACTCTGAGCAGCAGAAACAGCAGCTTCAGCCTGAAGACTCCCAGCAAGAGCGAAGAGCTGTCCTGTGAGTGTCTCTGTGCTTTCATTCTGATACAGTAGCGCTCAAAGTTTTTTTTAAATACTTTTATTCATCAAGAATGCATTATATGGCTCAAAAGTGACAGTAAAGACATATGTAATGTTACAAAAGATTTCGATTTCAAATAAATGCTGTTCCTTTGAACGTTCTATTCATCAAAGAATCCTGAAAAATAAAATGTATCACCATTTCCACAATAATATGAAACAGCAGAACTGTTTTCATCATTGATAATAATAATAAAAAAATTTTTGAGCAGCAAATCAGCATATTAGAATGATTTCTGAAGGATCATGTGACACTGAAGACTGGAGTAACGATGCTGAAAATACAGCTTTGATCACAGCAATAAATTACATTTTACAACATATCCACATAGAAAACAGCTATATTAAATTAAAATAATATTTCACAATATTACTGTTTTTACTGGACTTTCTTGATCAAAAATGTAGCAATGGATAGCAGAAGAGACTTCTTTCAAAAACATTTAAAAATTTTGAGATGTGGGCGGTCATATGTTAATGAGCTCTCGGCTGTGACATCTAATCATTGATATTTAAAAAGTCAGCCATTTTCGCAGTTTTGATTTTAATAAATCGTCTGGATTTACTAAAGAGGAAATTCTGAAATTCACAGTGTGGTACATATAGCCTCAATCTCATGTCAAAAGAGCAAGAAAAAAAGTTGTTTTCCATGATACGAGTCCTTTAAGTGTTGTAAATGTTTTTGGTTGATGGGTGTACAGTGTTTAGCAACAGTGAATGACCGTCTGATGTGTTTTTTGTGTGTTTAGCGGAGGTGAGCGCCGTGTTGAAGCTGGAGAACTGTGTGGTGGGACAGACGTGTTGGAGGAGTGTTGGTGAACAGACATGGGATCAGACCTTCACTCTGGAGCTGGAGAGAGTGAGTAACACACACAGACACACACAGACACAGCGTACTCAGATATTCAGCCAATGAACTCGTTCAGTCCAGAGAGATGGAGATCGCCGTGTACTGGAGGGACTATCGCTTGCTCTGTGCGCTCAAGTACCTGAAGCTGGAGGACTTTCTGGACAATCAGAGACACCGAATACAGCTGGAGCTCGAACCACAGGGACGGCTGCTCGCAGAGGTACAAACACGCACGCAAACACATGCTAATGGGTCAAGCATGGTCTGTTTTAGGCTGTTTAGTGGTACACTAAAATGCTTTTTTTTTTTACCAAACCACCAATAAGTCACTCATGTCAGATATGAGTAAACCATATTACGTTGCAATTCCTAAAATTTTAGTAGGGATGCACAATTTGGGGGGAAAAGAAATCAGATTTTTCTGATAAATCTGTGATTGTGATTTAAAATGCTATTTGAAAATAATTCCAAGTTTGCTGTGTAGGGCTGCACAATTTGGCCAAAATCGTGTACTTATATATCAATACAACTATCAAAAAATAAGGAATTATCATTATTGATATAGGAATTATTATTATTATTTATCATATACAATGAAAAATCTATACAAATAATAAAATAAAAAATAAAAACAAAAATCTTACTATTGTAATATTTCACTGTAAAATAAAAAAATATAAACTATTTAAGAAAATAATTTTATTTTACAATACAACTGTAAAATTACAATACTATTATTTATTATTATATTATCTTAATTATTTCACTTTCAAATGTTATACCATCAATTTTATTTCGACAGAAATCCGCAGGGAGCTCTTTAAAGGGATAGTTCACCCAAGAATGAAAATTACCCCATGATTTACTCATCCTCAAGCCATCCTAGGTGTATATGACTTTCCTGGCTCTTCTAAGCTTTATAATGGCAGTGAATGGGTGTTTTTTTACAATGGTCTAAAAGAAGTCCAATAAAGCGCATCCATCCATCATAAAAAGTGTCCCACACGGCTCCGGGGGGTGAAAAAGACCTCCTGTAGTGAATCGATGCATTTTTGTAAGAAACATATCCATCTTTAAAACTTTATAAACTGTAATCTCTAGCTTCTGCTAACTGTCGTACGCGTGTTCACTCTGGCGGATGACGTAGGCGAAGCGTAAGGTCCGCTGAGAATATGCTAGCCTTGCGAGAACCGACGTTTGTTTACAGGAGCAAAGTTTCCTAACTTTAGCAAAGGAAAATCAGTCTCCTCTTGGCTTATATCGAAATCCTCCATCATTTTTCTTTACAAATCTTTGTTTTGTACTACTAATTCATGAACAGTGTTTTGTTTTGCTCTCTCTGCTGCGCTCTCTCTCTCTCCGGAAGCTAGAGATTACAGTTTATAAAGTTTTAAATATGGATATTTTCCTTACAATAACACATTGATCCGCTACAGAAGGCCTTTATTCACCCCCCGGAGCCATGTGGGATACTTTTTATTATGGATGGATGTGCTTTATTTGACGTCTTTTGGACTATTGAAAAAAAACACCCATTCACTGCCATTAAAAAGCTTGGAAGAGCCAGGACATTTTTTAATATAACTCCGATTGGACACAGTACACACCTAGGTTGGCTTGAGGGTGAGTAAATTATGGGGTAATTTTCATTTTTGGGTGAACCCTATCCCTTTTAGCTCATGCTGGCCTCATGCTTTGGTAGATAGTCTGTACCTAATAAAACACGGTTTGTATTCACGCTTGTGTGTCACAGGTGATGTTCTTCAACCCTGTGATAGAGCGAGGTCCACGTCTACAGCGGCAGAGGAAGGTGTTTTCCAAACAGCAGGGTAAATCACTGATTCGAAGCCTGTTAGCAATGCATGCTGGGAAAAACACTGCGCACAAGGGCTGAATCCCATGCTGAATGCACTGGTAGCAGTAAAGGATACACTTTGAAATTTAGTATGAAGTTTGATATGGATGTATATGCTAAAAAACCTAGATATACATACATTATGTAAAATGTACTTGAAAATGATAAAAACTGCCTTTTTGTAATAATATGCCTGAATTAATCTATTTTAGTCTCAAAATAGCATAAGTATAATATGATATAGTATTGTGAAGGAGTTACTGTATGTTCGTTTGCTCAGGTAAAGCCTTCCTGCGCGCTAAACAGATGAACGTGGACATGGCGACGTGGGTTCGTCTGCTGAAGAACGTCATTCCCATGAGCTCCTCCACACACAGCTACACACAACACACCAACACACACCACAGCAGGTACTGTAACACACCGCAAACACGCATCTGATCACCTGACATTCATCCTGACCGACATCATGAACTTCAAACTTTCCTCAGCAGCGAGATTTCCATCCAGAAGATTCAGCTGGACGGCGACTCTCCTCCATCTGTGACGAGAAAAAACACACAGACGTCAAGCACGGTAAACCTCAGAGACTTCACTGACTGAAAATGGTTGTCGGTCCTGTTTTAGCTGGCTACGTACGGCTCTGTTGACTCACGGTTATATATATATGGGTCTTCGATGGAAGTGAAGCGAATATTTGAGCAGCTCTTCCCAAATACTGTGAAATTGTACCCATAAACTTATTCTTCTATTCTGCTTAGTTTATCTTGCATGGTTTGTCGAAGCTTCTGCTTGGTCTTAAAGGGATAGTTCACCCAAAAATTTAAATTACCCCATGATTTACTCACCCTCAAGCCATCCTAGGTGTATATGACATTCTTCTTTCAGACTAATACAATCTGAGTTATATAAAAAAATATCCTGGCTCTTCTAAGCTTTATAATGGCAATGAATGGGTGATATTTTTCAATAGTCTAAAAGAAGTCCAATAAAGTGCATCCATCCATCATAAAAAGTGTCCCACACGGCTCCGGGGGGTGAATAAAGGCCTCCTGTAGTGAATCGATGCGTTTTTGTAAGAAACATATCCATATTTAAAACTTTGTAAACCGTAATCTCTAGCTTATGCTAACTGTCGTACGCGTGTTCACTCCGGCGGATGACGGAGTCGTAGCGTAAAGTCCGCTGAGAATATACTAGTCTCGCGAGAACCGACATTTGTTTACAGGAGCAAAGGAAGCAAAGTTTCCTTACTTTAGCAAAGGAAAACCAGTCTTCTCTTGGCTTACAGTATATTTCGAAATCCTCCGACATTTTTCATTTCAAATCTTTGTTTTGTACTTCTTATTCATGACCGGCGTTTTGTTTTGCTGATTCGTCACTTCTCACCAGATCTTACGCTACGCTTACGTCATCCGCGGGAATGAACGCGCGTACGACAGTTTGCAGAAGCTAGAGATTACGGTTAATAATGTTATAAATATGGATATGTTTCTTACAAAAACGCATCGATTTGCTACAGGAGGCCTTTATTCACCCTCCGGAGCCGTGTGGGTTACTTTTTATGTTGGATGGATGCGCTTTATTGGACTTCTTTTAGACCAAGAATGTCATATACACCTAGAATGGCTTGAGGGTGAGTAAATCATGGGGTAATTTTAATTTTTGTGTGAACTGTCCCTTTAATGTTTTATGCATCGTTTCACTCAGCTGACTACAGATTTGTGTTCTCTATTTACACAACCAAGTAAACCCGAAAATCTAAAAATGTACAAAAAACTCAAGCGGACAAACAAAGGTTTTTACACAAGATTAGAACTCAGGCAGTTGTGTTTAAACCATTTAATTTTCATTATATATGTATGTATATATATATATATATATATATATATATATATATATATACCTATACCTGTATATATATATTAAATGCAAACAAATGTATTTACTGCGCCATATAAATTAATAATGTTTGTAAACATCATAAAACCACTTTTTTTATTTATTTACTTACAGGCAGTTGTTTAAACCATTAAAATTTAATTTAATTTATTTTAAAATTAACAAAAATTTTTATTCAATATTTTATCATCTGTCTTGAGTGTAGTAGTAGCATGGGAATTAATAACACTGTAAACTTCAGAACAGCACTGATTTAATCTATTTATTTTTTCAAATAATTCACTATTTACAATGAATGAAAACTCTTTCTCGAATGTAATTGCAATGTGCTTTATTGGCGTGAACTGCACATTTTGTGTTGCCAAAGCACTTGCAGCTAAGCTGTGTATAATGAGAGAAAAGTAAAAGTAACACAAGTTATATTAGCAATTAAAGTCAAATAATAAGTGCAAAATAAAGGAAATTTAAGAATGTAAGCTAAGCTAATAGCAATACATGAATATAACAAAAAGGAAGCGATTAAACAATAATAATCTGGTGAAAATAATAATCTTTGTTTCTCAGGTGGACATTGGCCCAGTGTCTGAGCCGGTCTCTCCTTCTGATCCCGCTCCTCTTGAGAAGGCTGTCAGAACCAGTTCCCATAATTCCCAGCGCAGGTACACATCCCACCAGCACACAATATGTTTTCCAGAGCGGGCCAAGACAGCATGAAACAAACACACACATTCTCACGTGCATGATGCCTGTGATGTTGTTTCTGGCCTCACACCAGCTCTTCCCTTCAGTTTAATTACATCCGGCCCCTGTGTGTTTGTGTGTGTGTGCGTGTGTGCGTGCGTGCATGTGTGTGTGTGTGTGCGTCCGTGTGTGCGTACGTGCGTGCATGTGTGTGTGTGTGTGTGTGTGTGTGTGTGCGTGTGTGTGTACAGGCCTTCCAAAAGCACTCTGTGTCTTCAGGATTTCCGAATGATTGCAGTGTTGGGCCGGGGACATTTTGGCAAGGTAACTGGAACATGTTCAGTCGCAAAATATTATAGCAACTATAGCAACTAGTCAGACACAATCAGCACAGACACGTCAGAAATTCACAAAGTCCTACACATCCGCCAACACTTTTTATACTGTGTTTGCTTTAAAAATTCTGGCTAGTTTGATTATGCTTTCAGCCAAGAGTGCGCCATTCTGCATTTAACATATTTTACCATGTTCAAATCCAGGCATTGACTTTCTGACTAGTTGACAACTTTTCTGGACAAACTGACTAGTAAAAATTTGTCTTGCAAGCAGTGTTATTTATATACTATGGTACAGGTTTTGAGAATATATTTGGGTTTGTTTTTATTTCAAGAATTTTCAGCTTTCTTTTTTTTTCATTTCAAGTTTTAGTAATTTTGTTCTTGGCATTTTTATTAGTTTTTTGTATTTCTATTTTATTTCAGTTTTAGAATTTTTAGTCCTTTAGTAACTTTTTTTTAATTTCAGTTTTATTTCTGTTATGAATATTTTTATTTCCGTTAACAAAAATGTTTTTTTAAAGTTCTGTTACTGCTTGCAACAAAAACTTTTTTTCTGTAAATGTTGAGTAAAAATATGTCTTACAAGCAATGTTTTTTAGTATTATTTATATATTATTATTGTATTTTTCTTAATATATATATTTTTTTGAATATTTATTATTATTTTGTTTTTATTTGAGATTATCACTTTACTTTCTAATTTTAATTTAGATTTTAGTATTTTTTATTTTACTTAACAGTTGTAACACTTCTTGCAAGTCTCGAATTTTGCATTGCATTAACAACAGAAGCAATGAGAAATGTCTTTCCTCTCAATTTGAGACACTGACCAGTTGAGAAACAGTGTTTTTGCACAGAGCCAGTTGTGAATGAAGATTCAGGTGTCTGTTAAGCATGATATTTGTGTTTCCAGGTGCTGCTGTCTGAATACGAACGCTCGGGAAAGGTGTACGCCATCAAAGCACTGAAGAAAGGGGACATTGTGGCACGAGACGAGGTGGAAAGGTGAGGAACTTAATTCAAGTTTAGTGTGAGAGAAAAATAACTTAATAACATCCTGTTTGTGCTCTTTTTGCTAGATTGATATTTCTGTTTCCAGTAAAAATATATTGCAAATATCTTTCTTACTTTAAGCATAAATATAATAATATCTAGTGAAATTCACTACACAACGTATTTTCTTCTTACTATTTAAAATGCAAAAGTACACATGACAGTTCATCCATTTAGTCTTCAGTCTTTAGACTCTCGTATCCTCTCTCTTCCAGTTTGATGTGCGAGAAGCGAATCTTTGAGACGGTGAACAGCGCACAGCACCCGTTCCTGGTCAATCTGTTTGCATGTTTTCAGACGCCAGAACACGTGTGTTTTGTCATGGAGTACACGGCTGGCGGAGACCTGATGATGCACATCCACGCTGACGTCTTCTCTGAAACACGCTCTGTGTAAGTGTGTTTAACTTAACCAGCTAATATGCAACACTAGTAGTTGTTACGTCACAGGTGAATACAAATGTATAAAATCAGGCAAATGATAAAAACCTTCAGAATATATATAAGAATAAAACTGTAACATTTGGTGTATGCAAGTGCTGCTGAAGTGGAGAAACAAACTCATTTTGAGAAACAAACAACTTCTACAGATGCAAATAGATAAAGTGCAATACAATAAACACTTAAATGTATTTTTTGAATGTTTTCTTTCCACTAGTCTTAAACAAAATATTATGAAACGCCAAATAGCCCAAAATCTCAAAACTGACCAGTGCATGAAGAAAAACAATGCTGTTACCTGTAGTGTCTTGCTTTAATAATCATTGTGCAATTTGAACGTGTCGTTCCTGGATTTATGTGTGCTTTTCGTGAGTGTTTTACTGTATTCTTCATATTTGTGTGCGTGTGTGTGTGTGTGTTTGTGATTCAGGTTTTATTCTGCATGTGTGGTTTTGGGGCTTCAGTTTCTTCATGATAATAAGATTGTGTATCGGTGAGTAAACACTCAAATACAGCTGTTTTCATAAGCTCAAGTTAGTAGAAGTTAAGAGTTAATTCTTGCATCTGTGTGTGTGTGTGTGTGTGTGTGTGTGTCTGTGTGTGTGTGTGTGTCAGAGATCTGAAGCTGGATAACCTGCTGCTGGATACTGAAGGTTATGTGAAGATTGCGGACTTCGGTCTCTGTAAAGAGGGTGAGTCACAGACTGTACCTGCTGTAATGATATTGATGGAGTTAATGGAGGAAGAGCATGATATTTGTTCACTGCTGGATCAGAGTGATCTGGAAATGACAGGCTGTGCTGCTGACTGCCTATTATTTTTTAATAACTCTACCGTTCAGAGGTTTTGGGTCGGTATGTTTCTGAAAGAAGTCTCTTCTGCTCACCAAGGCTGCATTTCTTTAACCAACAATGTAAATTGTTAAAATATTTCACAACTCTTTTCTATTTGAATATATTGTAAAATGCAAATTTTTCCTGTGATCAAAGCTGAAGTTTCAGCATCATTACTCCAGTAATTGCTTTCAGATATGAAACCGGTTCTTTCACATTTTTATACAATTTTTTGTAAGACAAAAAAGCTAAAAATCACAGCTGGTTTATTTAAATAATAAATACTGCAAAAAGAGATGCCCATAATAAAGCTATAAGCCCCAAGAAGCCGTGGTTTACAGTGAATTTATAACAGCTAAGGGGCGTTGTTAGGTACGACCAATCAGAATCAAGGACCGGAACTATCTGTTTCATAATGTCCTTTTCGCTCTTTCTGTCTTTTGAATGTCTTGTTTCTATCTTCTGTCCTGTAGGAATGGGTCATGATGACAGAACCAGTACATTTTGTGGGACTCCAGAGTTTCTGGCTCCTGAGGTTCTGACAGACACGTCCTACACCAGAGCCGTGGACTGGTGGGGTCTCGGCGTGCTCATTTACGAGATGCTGGTTGGAGAGGTATGCATGTGTCTGTGCAGTTTTTGCTTATTATTCTATTGTTTCCCAGGAAAATATATATATATTTTTTTTCTTTAAGCATAAATCTAACAAAATCTGCTGAAGTTCACCTCAAAATGTGATTCAGTAATTTTGTGTGGTTTTCAGTATAAATATCAAAAATGTCTTAAATCAACATACTTTTACTGGAGATGTAAAATAGTAAGATAAGAAGTCTTGTTTTCTGATAAACTTTTCTGATACATAATCTGTGTGTCCAGTCGCCATTCCCAGGTGATGATGAGGAGGAGGTGTTCGACAGCATTGTGAATGATGAAGTACGTTACCCAAGATTCCTCTCCACCGAGGCCATTGGCATCATGAGACGGGTAAGACTGTATTTTTTTCCCCCAAAGCTGTTCTCTGATTGGCCAGGTTTGTTAACTTTCCTTGTTTTTCATCGGTAGCTGCTGAGGCGTAATCCTGAGAGACGACTGGGCTCCAGTGAAAGAGACGCAGAGGACATCAAGAAACAACCCTTCTTTAGAGTATGAAGACTTTGTCCCAATTGTTAAAAAAATGAGATGGGAGGAAATGGTATATTTCAATGTTTCTGCGATCTTTTGCAAAATGTTTGCATTCCCCCAAGAAACGTTGCTTTTGCTTGCAAAACATTTGCGCTGGCTTGTAAAACTCTTGGAAATATAGAAATAATACGGGGTTTTTCAGCTGTACCTAATACCTATGCAGAATTATGCAGATGTTTCGCGAGAGAATGCAAAGTGTCTTGGGGGAGCGCGATACTTTTGTGAGAGTATGTAAAGTTGCTTGGGGGAACGCAATACGTTTGTAAGAAAATGAAAAGTTTCTTAGGGGAAACGCAGTACTTTTGTGAGAGAATGCAATGTTTTGTAAGCGAACGCAAAGTTGCTTGGGGGAACGCAATACTTTTTTGAGAGAATGTAAAGTTTCTTAAGGGGAACGCAATACTTTTGTGAAAAGGTTCTTGGGGAAACGCAATATTTTTGTGAGAGCATGCAAATGTTTCGCAAGTTGCTTGGGGGAACGCAAAAGTTTTGCGAGTGAATGCAAAAGCATTGAAATCTCATATTTTGTTCCATCGCCATGTCCCTATAGGGGCTCCATATAATAATGCCAAAGTGTCAATCCTAGTGATGCCGTGGCTAACTCGTCTTCTCTCACTCTATAGAATATGGACTTGGAGGCGCTTCTGCAGCGGCGAGTTCCTCCTCCTTTCGTTCCTGCAGTGAAGGGAAAAGAAGACGTCAGTAACTTTGACGCCGAGTTTACGAATGAAGCACCGACGTTGACGCCTCCTCGTGAGCGCCGGATCCTTTCGCGCAAAGACCAGGACTACTTCAGGGACTTTGACTATGTCTCTGACTTCTGCTAGGGCACGAGTGTGCATACTGCCGCTGCTAGGTGTGGGAGATGTGGACCATTGTAACGACCTATCAGTTGTTGCATCCTAGTCCACATCTAGGCTGCTTGGCGTGAGGACTGACGCTTCCTCAGAGGCTTCCTGCCAATGGAACATGGGTTTGTTCAACATGAAAACCATAATAAAGGGTTTGACATCTCCTGACTGCCTATAGTGATTGGTTGATTGGAGCGTGAGGAAATTACTCCATCCGACTTTAGGAGGTACATCGAACATGAAGAGATTCAAGAATCCACATAATGTGAAGCTCTGAAAGCCGGCAGGCAAGATGTTCTCTTGTCCTGTTTGCAAAGTCTTTCATGACATTACCCTTAGCACCAGATGCTAATGAAGTCATGAATCTTGTGAATAGAGTGCTGCAGGGATGACATATTTTTGTAAGCCAAAACCAGGAAACGAGTTCGCCTTTTAGCACATCCGGTTTCATCATCCTGATTTTTTAATGGGTTTTTGGGTTAGTTGGTCTATGTTTAACACAAGCTCAAGATATTTTCACATTTTATTCTACGACATAAAATACATCAATAATACTCCCTTGTCTTGAAAAAGTCTGTTGCTAACAAATGGCTAAATGGGACTTCAGAGGTGTAGTTTGCAAGAAGTATAAGGATATATAATGCTCTCTTGCCAACTAGTCTTACTTTTTTTTTTTAAATAACGACTGAAAGAGCTGTCATAAGCTTACTGGTGGTGTAGTTTGTTTATAGCCAACGTTTAGCTTTTTATTTTCTAGTGTTTTGTATTTGGCCTTCATAAAAGATTCCTTTTATTCGTGAGGATTTTCGTGATTAACAAAACATGAAAGAATCATAAACTTTGGTTGGCCACAGAGCTTATTTTCTGCAGTAATCCAAAAGCCAATGGAGAAATCCTATTGGGGTTTTTTTTTTTTTGGAGGGAACCAGCGTGATGCTAACTTATGGGTTGGACTACAATAATACATCACTGCAGCGCTCTATGGGAGCTTGTTGACTAGCAGAGTCCAGTTTCATGGTACTGACCCGAGTAAAATGGCTCACCGAATTCTCCCTTCTCCTGTCTTTCTGTCTCCATTTTCTTTTTTGACCAATGTAGCCATATCACACACAATCCAGAGACTGTTTACTTCTGTAATACACTCATTTAATCACACGAGGGCGGCAGAGAGTGTGACAGAGTTGTGGAAACACTGTTGTATCAGGTGTGTGTTGTTTTGGGATCCTTGAGTTTGTATGCCTTTACTGTGTTATGAGCATGTCTCATAACGAAAGGCAGCATCAACCTCTAGATTTACATTTTTAGAGATCTAGTTTTTCTTTCTCACTGAAACTTTACTAATTATGCTATGCCTGAATATTACTATATTAAACAACTAAACTCTTTTGGGGCAATATTATTTTTCTCATAGTCTCTTTTATGATCAAATTGTGGAAAATTTACCTAAGCAGGAAAAAATTAAGATTATGAGTGTTACAGGATGAAACTGAACAGGAGCAGAATGGAAAGATCAATCCCACACAGACGTCTACAAACTAAAGGTAAGATGTGAACAACACATACACATTCACATTTATATCAAATAGTTCACTCCATCAACTGCCAAGTGGCAGTGAAGGTGGCAAGACCATCCGTTACATAAGCAAATAAACCAGCGAGTGCCAAGTGTGCTGTGAGGAACTTGCTTAAAATGTGATGAAGGGATAGTTTGAAGCACTTTTGAGATAATGACTCATTGTTCCCCAGAGGAGAGAAGGAGAAAGTATCCATGGAGCCCAGGAGATGGAGCTGTAAAATAGGAGGTCATGTTATGTGAACAAACTACACTCATTCTCCCTCATGGACTAATTGAGTAATTGTTTATGTGCTCCATAATTGGGCGTTTTCCAAGCAAATCACATTACACTAAACTCCAGTAACATGACATGCTTTGTTACCAAAAGTGGTCTACAGCACTTTACTTTCAGTTGTGGTTAAGCATCTTGCTAAGGTACAATGGCCCCTTTTTTACATCTAATTTTAATAAAGCAGGGTAAAATTAATCTTGAAGGAATATTCCAATTCGATCACTCAAACTACCTACGCAGGTAGTCAGTGATGCATTTGGTCATGTTGCATTTGTAGGGTCTAGGGTTGTGACGGTGAGGAAATTTTCCCACCGGTTAATCGACGTGTGACAACACCGGTAATACCGGTATCACCGCAGGGGAAGGGGCGTTCCCTCTTTTCCTCGCTTTCCTTCGCTTTTAAATAGCTTGTAAAAGTGGTGTGTACATTTTACTTTCACTTTCAAATAGCGGCAATTCGGAGTAAAGCAATTGTTCGTTTTTAGTTCGTTTGAATTTTCCCTCTTTTCCTCGCTTTCCTTCGCTTTTAAATAGCTTGTAAAAGTGGCATGCGCATTTTACTTTCACTTTCAAATAGCTGCAATTCGGAGTAAAGCAATTGTTCGTTTTTAGTTCGTTTGAATTTTCCCTCTTTTACACGCTTTCCTTCGCTTTAAAATAGCTTAAAAGCGCCGTGTGCATTTTACTTTCACTTTCAAATTAGCGGCAGTTCGGTGTCAATTGCTTGATTGCAACAACAAAATACAACGTCAAACTCACTTTAGCGTATATATAAAACAGAACTTTTATTAACAAAACGAATAAAAATACACCATGCTTTAGGGCAGGCTATGCCTAATATAAAACAACAAATAACTTACATAAAGTTTAAATCTAAATCATCCGCCTTCGTCTTGTCTGTCTCACCTCACTCTTCTTGTCAGTCAGCTCGACTCACTCTCACTGGAGAAATGAAATCTGATCTGTGATGCAACTGTCGTTCAACTGCATTGAGCATCCGCGTTCAGTTTTTAATTGTAGTGTCTGTTCTTTTAATAAACTAAATGATTTTTATTACTATAAAAAATCAAAACGACGGTGGGGGTCGATGACGCGGTGGGCAAGTGACGTAACCGGTGTTGCGGCTTAACACCGGTATCACCGTCAGCACCGTCTATCGCGGCAAGCCTAGTAGGGTCATGTAAATACTTAATCATTGCAGGATGCCGGCAGTAAATTATCAGAGCTTATTTCATTCTCAATCCCCATACCAGTCTTCACATTTTATTTGGAGTCACAAAATCGGAGACCCTTCCCTAAAAATCTCCATGAAATCCAGTCACAAGTGGGCAATGAATACTAATTTGTGATTGCTTAATACCATTGCCTAATGCAATTTCTTCCCTATTAATTGGGTAAGAAAAAAAAAAGCATGGATTTTAATTTCAGCAGTGGTTCTCAACTAACACAATATTCAAAGGCCCCCATTCAAGATATATTTATGCTTGAATTTCTGCTGTTATTATGACAAAGGTGCTTGTTTTCCAAATTTTTTATTAACAGAAACTGGGAGTGTTGATATATTAATTGGTCAGTTTATTATGTGATTCCAGAAATGTCAGTACTATTTAAAAAAAAAATCAGGTTATATTATTTTAATATATTAATACACTTGAATATTAATTGTGTTTTTAATAACAATAATAATAATACTAATAATTTAAATAAGTTTAAAGTTGCAATGCAATGGAAGTTGCGACAGAGCATTTCTCCTGTATTGTGACGTATATCCAAGTTTATCAGATTATCCAAAAAGAAAAACATATGTCAGGGAATTATTTTCTTAGTCTCTTCCAATAGTTTTCCAATAAAAATATTTAAATTCTTAAATACATTTTAGTATCAAAATGACTTAAAATATAAAGTCTTGTTTTCTAAAAACAATAACAGCAACAACTCATAATTAAGTGACTTTAAAAAAAGAAAGAAGAAGAAGCAAAATATCAGTTAATTTGTATAAGGAAAAATATTATTGTTCTTACTTAATTTTCTAATTTTGGTCTTTTATTTATTTTTTCAGACAGCAAGGCTTAATTGCTTACGTCTTCTCAAGTCATTTTAATTTTAGAATTTTTAGATAACCAGTAATGTATAATGCATTTTCACTAGGAAAAAAAAAAACAGCAGGGGTTTTATAAAGGAGGTCCTTCAAAAAAGTTTGAGAAACCCTGTAAAGAATGTGAGAGTAGAACGAGAGTAGAAAACATTTATCTTTCCACTCTTTTATGATAAATGAATGCAAGGAGGTCACTCAGACAGACTGAAAATGCACAGACCAAATGATCTCGCTCCAGACTAACTAAAACCTCTGATGTGCATTCATTGAGCATCATCAGAGCAGACTAAAGCGATTAAATTGCATGATGTTTTTAAACATCTCTCAGTGATTGCAGCAGCTGGTTCAGATTCCCGCCTCGTTCTGCGCGGGTCATGTGGCTCTGATTTGTTGGGAAGCTCAGGTGTGTTCTGGTCTCATCACATGAAATATTCTGCAGATTTATATTTTTCCACACAGTTGACCCCTGATTGTCTTCGCAGAAATCATAACATAATACTGCGCACTTCATCTGAAATAATGGATGCGGCAGCGCTGGTAAAGTACCAACAAATTTGTTAAACTTATGGACTTTGTTCAAACTTCAATGTTTGAAACTAGATTTTTACAGTCTCAAGTTAGGCTTACAGTACCATTTAGGCTTAGGGGTTTGTTCATGTACTCACCCCTAAGTATGAGTTAGTATTGTTTTTTTCAGTATGATTGAAATACTATTCTAGTATTAATATTTTGATTTCATTTTTTATTTTGATTTCCTGTTTTCATTTTAATCTTAAAGTTTTAGTTGTTTTGTTATGTGCTTGTCATTTTTACTATTTATTTATGTCTATTTAGGTTTTAATAATGTTTATTTTTTTATTTTAATTTGAAAGTTTTAGTAATTCTGTTATGTGCTTTTCTTTTTTTTTTCTTTTTCAAATATGCTGATATAGTTTTTATTACTATATACTATTATAATAATATTTTAAATTAGTTTTTGTTTTTATATTCTGTTTTCATTTCAATTTAAAGTTTTAGTAATTCTTATGTGCTTTTGTAATTTTTGTTATTTGTTTGTCTGAATTCTTTTATTAACTGCATTTTGAATTAGTTTCTATTTTTCTATTTTGTTTTCTTTTACATTTTAGTTTAAGTTTTAATAATTCTGTTATGTGCTCTTGTAATTTGTATTATTTTCTTTAAATATGTCCATATAGTTTTTAATTTTTAATTTCAGTTTTAGTTGCAGTTTTTTTTTTCAGTTTTCAGTTATTTTATTTATTCATGAAGTTGAATGAAAATGCTAAATGGTGTGTGTGTGTGTGTGTGTGCGCATATACTGTATATACATATTAGTGCAGTCAAAATGAAGAAGTTAAATTTTTTCAATTAACGCAGGGGTGGAGCTAGGGTTGGCCACCCCACTCACAACTGCTGCTCGTCTCTTTTTTACTTGACAAGAATTGCGTTTATTTAGATGCAGAATGTCAACATCAAACGGGAGACTTTTCAGACGCGCACTCCAACTTGTCAAACGAGCTTGGAAAAGGTACATGTGACGAGGAGCTTCAGTAGGACAACAGTGAACTGTAGTCAGATGAGATGTTGTCAGGCCATATGTCAGTAAAAAACAATTTTCCTGTCTTGTCAACCATTATACTGTGTTTGTAGCACGTGCTCTTCAATTGCACGCACAAATGCAGTGGCGCGCGCTGTATATCATTTCATATTAAAGCGCAAATGAAACTATAAGCATGTCATAGTTATGTCATCAGTTAAATCATGAAGTTACCAAAAAGGTGATTAAAGCTGCCTAAAAACTATGTATGTAAGTATTTGTTATATATGATCGGATTTAAGAACATATCTCTGAAATGCAGTGGTTTTCAGAATCAGTCCTGGAGCAGCAGCACTGTCTCCCTCTTCTAACACCT